ATAAGAATGGCCATCCGCCTGAGAACCAGATGGACGAGAAAAGGTCAATGAGAGGGGAACCGCTGAAGCAAGTTCGGAAAAGCAAAAACCAAATTAGTAACGATGGAAAAGAGATAACGAAGCAACTGCCCGGCGATGGGAAAGCAACTACAGATTGGAAGCTAAAGACAGTCTGCCGATCAGCCGGATGGCCTTACGTTGAACAAGGCCGAGGAGTTCCGTTCAGTTTGTACAACCATTAACCATGCACTTTCGTGTGTCACTTTTAGTTGCTGTCTTTTGGCCGCCCATTTTGATGAAGAATAGAAGACAGGAAGGTTAAAGGTAGAGTCGAACAGAAAGTGGAGAAGTTCAGTGGTCCAAGTTTGCAACTTGAGAAGATGCAAGAACGCCTCTGTTTACGGCACCCAGCCATATCATTCAGTGTCTCTAACCATCGTGTACGATTATCCTGGGGGTAAGAGACACAGTGAAGATAGTGGAATAGGAAGCTCCATCCCATATGTGTCTTCCCATATTTGAGCACCGGGTGAATTTGTGCTTCGTATAAGAGGTGCTTGGGTGTAAATAAATGCTTGGCGCGGAATAGAAAACCGACTTTGCGCGCAGCGTGGGAGGCGAATGTGGAGTAGCAGAGAGAATTTGTGGATAACCCAAGGAGGGAGAGAATTGGTGGAACGAAGGTACAGAGAGACAGGATGGGATTGACTCTGGTTGCTTGTGGAGTTTCAATAGACCAAAAAGTTGGGTAACGTGAATTGCCCTCGTATTCAGACCTTGAGCGATGTTCTCATCGATTAACACCCCCCCCCAATAGAAAGTAAACTTCAGATTCACTTTTTCGTGTCAGCGATTAAGGGTCATCATTTCTTAATACACGAAAGTGAATACAGTAAAAGGGTTAAACCCCGCGGTCCGAAGATATACTGAAAGTGGGAAGATATGGAGAAGCTAGAATCAACTTGTTGATTCTGCGTTTAAAAACAAGGATGTTTTGCGCTGGAGGGAAAACCAAAAGGGGGACAGTGTTCCACAGTTGTATTGTTCTTGGGAAAAAAGGTGACTGGAAGAAATGCCACACCTGGGAGTAGTCACTTGAAATGGGTGACTAGCCGCGTGTGCGGGAGATCTACGAGGAAGTACAAGCCTGAAGGACAGACGCGGAAAGTTCATCAGAGCAAAATCCAAAGCAGTACCGACATAACAAGGATAAAGAAGCAACTGTCCGACAGTGAACTAGTGACTCCAACTCGGATTTTAAGGACAGGTCGTTCATGAGACGAATGGCCTTACGTTGCATCCGATTAAGAAGAGAAAAAGAGGTGGACGAAACTCAACCCCACACATGACTGCAGTATTCAAGTGTAGGGCAAATCTGAGATTTGTAAAGCGAGAGGTGAATGGGGTTAAGGAAACGTCTGGCGAGGACGAGGAAGTGGATTTTGCGCGCAGTGCGGGAAAAAAGTTAATAAATATGAGGTGACCATGAAAGAGAAGGAAAGACCCAAAAGGTTGCATCATTCTGTGGAACGGAGTGTTCAAATTGAAATTCAAGGAAAGAGAAAGACATAAGGAAAGTTTTACTGGAAATGTTCAGAACACGGTTGCTACAGCCCCAAGTCTCCGAAATCCTTAGTATGGTCGGGGGTGGATGTCTAGGGTTGCGGCTGGTCACCCGTCCCTTGCACCTCGCGAAATGCTCCCATACGACCAAGAGCCTCGAATAGCCTCTGCTGAGGAAGTTCTACTCACTACTTTCTCGTGGCGGTGTTTGTGCACGAAAGTGAGAGAACGAAAAGCCGACATCCGGGTTGGTGAACCACTGGCAGTTCACTTAGGGGAGTTGGCCAAAAACCTTGATTCCAAACCAACCAAGAGGTATATGAACCACACCCACACCTTTCCGGTTGTGGTAATGGTCACCGATTCGATTGGGCACCTCGGGTGTTTGATCCCATCAGAAGGGCGTATGATCCGATGAACTGGACACCGGCTCCCAATGGATTGCGGTTTTCGCAAACGGCCCCGCTGCCTTGTGGGTCAGGCTTTGGCTAGCCAAAGGCTCTGATTGTGGATTCCCCAAGAACATTCACCTGCCTTGGCCTGGGCAACTTGGCAGTATTCTTGTTGGACTTATTGTGGACACAGGTGTACGGAGTACTCCATCTTTGATTGGTATCCTTAACGGTTCACCAGGAAGACGCCAGATCCGTTAGGATATAGTGGAAGACACGCGGTCGGTAATAAAATAGGTGAATAGTAATAGAATTTCAAGTGGATCTTAAACGGTCGTTGCGGAGGACTCTTATTTAGTGACAGCATCAGACCTCTCCACACATGAACCTATCCCATATGCGGACATTGCTGTTTAACCGGATAAAGACCACGTAGTTGGTCAAGGTACGTTGACTCTCACTTTCTGCACGCTTGCTGTTCGCTTCTTCCTCTTTGATCTACATATTATATCAATACAACCGTCGTTGGAGTTTCGTGGTACCAGTCGTTCTCTCTTTGGTCAGTTCCTTTGTCTTTTTCGCGACGTCAAAATTCGAGGACATCATTAGACTGAGAAAACGCAAAGGCCGATTGTAAACCGGAGGGACTGACGCAAAACTTTGCGCCAAAAGTAGGCGCTGCATAACGCGCTTAGCGTGTTAATAACGCGTTCAATATATTGAACGCGTTAGCTTCACTTTTATACCTGTATTTCCTTTCAAGAAGAGCGAACTCTCAAGAGTTTGGAATATAGTGTCCTTCAATGTCGAAATCCACGAGTTTTGTTGTCGAACAAATTAAAGTAACATAACATGTTCTGTTGTCAGAGTTGCAAAACGTCAATCAAAGAAATAAGTAGTAGTACTTACACAAACAATATTCAATATGTCAACATGTATTGCATGCGATGCAGGTGCTCATATTATATGTATATATATGAAGCTATCTTTATCCAAACTGATTTCTCATATATGAATATTCAACTTCAAAGAGATATATGTGACACCATCATTCAAATCACACTTACAAAGGGACAAAAATAGCAACATGTCGCTCTTTGCAGTTACCAGCAGTTTTATAAAATTACTGCAATGTGACTGACATCGACTAATATTTTTTAGAATATGTTTCACGACTAGAAAATCAAAACCTAAACCACAAAAATCAAACCAATAAGCAAGATATAATGATAAAAGACTAGCCGCTTAACCAA